GGTAGCTTTGTTTCTCTGGAAGTAGTATGTGTAATATTTGGAAGTGGGTCATTTATCTCCAGTGATCCATGTACAGAGAACCACTGCACTGTGGCATATACTCAATATTTTTTGTTCTGACTGTGTATAAGTGACTCACAGTGTTTTAGTTCTGTATTCAATTTAGAACGATTGTGTGGATTTTTTTATGTTTTGTTCGGGAAATTATGATAATGAATATAGTAATGTAATGTAGCATTAAGCTTTCTGACATACCTAGCATTAGCATTAATACCTCTTTGTGTATGTGTTAACAGGAGTCTCTTCAAGAACATACACTGCATCAAGCACAATGAGGCAGAAGAAGGAAAAGCTTATGTCAGTTTCACCTACTGGGGCATCACAGAGACCTAAATCCACTAATGTTCATGCTGCTTGTTTGTAAGTGCATGCTTTGCTTCACAATTTGCAATGTTCTATTGGGTTTCTATTTTCAGCAAGTGCATGTGTGAAAATATTCTCCATTGTTTAACGATTTAAATGCATAGTAAACTAATTGCTTATTAAATGGTTTCATGCATATGCTCTTGCATCAATCAGTGTTTTCTATGAGAGGGAGTATTTATGAAAGAGAAGCATTTAAATATGTGGTACGTAAGTGGAATTTGTGTCTGTGACATGGGAGGACAGAATTGCTGTACTCTAGAACTTAATTCCTAGTCTAGTACTTCTCATCCTGGCTTTAGGTAAGTCTTCTGAACATGACCTAAACATTCAGATGTCTGAAAGAATCTTCCTTTTATAGCAGCATAAAGAGGTAAAAGGCTAGAATACAGATATTGCAGAAGGTGTTACTCTGCCATGATTACAGATGGCTCAAAGTGATGAGATTCATTTTATATGGAAGGCTGTCTCTCTTCGATATTTAAAATGATTTTAGAAGTTATACTGGGACCTTTGCAAAGGGAAGAAGCATACGATGCTCTTTCAACACCAGAGACTGAAGTTTGAAGTGAACAACAGTTTCAGATTTACTCTAAACAAATTAAGTTTTAGATTCTTCCCAGGCTAGAGAATAGAAAGCAAAGGAATCATTTCATGGCTGTGCTTTTGTTTATCCTTACCTGTAAGTGGGAGATAAAGCTTGAGCTGAAAGAAATTTTCAGCATTTGCTTATGAGGGCAACTATTTACCAAGATTAAAAAAGAGAGATTAAAAATAAAATCTTATGCTTTGTAGCCCATTTTTACAATGTTAGGTTCATACCAAATGTTTATAGTAGTGTCCAATAGACAGGCTTCAGTATTATGTCCATTTATAAGGGGAGCAAAATTTAATGTGATTGTCAAAACTTAATGTAGTTGGCAAGTGTAGTAGGTGTCATGCTTCATTTGTCTGTGAAGGCAAGCTTAGAGTGTGCTTGTTTTGTTGGGCTGCAGTCTTATGAAAAGCATAAATTGCGATGCTGCTGTCTGTAGCTGTTGTTGGGAACCCTGCTTGCTTTCCCAACGTCTTCCTAGGAGAGGTACAGAAAATCTTTGTATTGTGTGTAAGCAAAAAAGCTGTGTTTGGTAGTGTTGTCTTGGCCTTACAAAAAAAAAAAAAGCAAACTTACTATTCTTTACTCATGCTTGCACAAGGGTCTATGCTCTCAAGTATTCTGCATAGTAACAAACTTTTTGCTGGGTCCTGTATGGTAGTTTGGCAGAGCTTCTGCTCCTCGTGACCTTCAGATCACATTTAGCTGTTTGGCAATATTTAAACTTTTATCTTGAAGCAGCATTGTGGCAAACAGATTTTATTACAATTATTGCGTGTTGATAAGGAGTGTAAGGCATTTTTTTGCATAGTGCTGCCATGTTTATTTATAATATTATGCTAATTAAAATTATTCACCATTTGAAGACTTCTGTCCTTGAATGTGAGTATCAAGGTCACAGTTCAGTACTTCTGAATGTTCACATGATAATTCTCTTCTGGAAAGGAATTTCCAAAATGGATTACTTTTAATAACTTCATTTTATTTAACTTCAGTATGAAATACTGTCAATTTTTTGTCATTTTTGTAAACTGTAAGAAAATCATTGACATGGAATGGTTGCTAGTACAGTGACTTTTCAGAATTCTATATTTGATATTAAATTGCAGAGGATGTAATTGGAGAAATGCTTACCTGCAGTGGAGATTGCACTTATCAGCGACACTGATGTGTGGTAGATTTCTTTGTTTTTGGTTTAAATACAGACAGGTTTTCATTGTTAGCCAATTTCAATTTTTATAACAAATTCTAATAGATTCTGTCACTTTATGTTCTCTCCTGCCTTTTTTCCCCTCCCAATTTTTTCAAAACAGAAAGTGCAAGCAGCGTCCTTAAATTTTAATTCCTGGGAACCTCAGAGACTTTGAGCAAGTTGGAAGAATCAGGCAAGGCCATTCTTCACATGGAGTTTATAAGATTTTCTCTGTACCAGAGCCTATCTTCTGCCAGATTGTTTGCAGCATTTACTGAAGATCCTGAGGCATCTCAGCTGGTACCCCTCACTCAGATAAGCATTGGCTAGCTACATTTGTCTTGTATGGTGGGTGTTTTCCTACTTGTCAGCTAAACAATTTCAGGATAAATCCCTACAAATAGCTGGTATTTTTCTTTCTAACATGTCAGCCAATAAAGTTTCCTTTTGACTCCTTTTCCTTGTACGCTCCCTCCATCTGTGGTGTTTGCCTGCTCAAAGTCAGGTGCAAAATAGTGGATGAACCTTGTTATTTCCACTGATGAGTGAAAAATTCAGAGCTGCATCTGGAGCCGTCTTCCAGGAGAGATTATGGTTGAGATCAGCTTTGTATTCTGTGTACCAGGAGGGGTTGCTAGTGCTTATGATGCAGGTCTGGTTTGTCTTCAGGATGTTAGTTCTATTTCCTTGTTCAGGTAAACTTCTGTGCATCTGGTAAGTTTCCTCCTGGTCAAAATGAGACAGGATTTGCCAACAGTGATCTTTGCCACTGTGTTATTTGAAGATCCCTTGCTTCTCACTACGGAGACCTAAGTTGCCATTTATTTTTGTTGCAAGCTCTGATCATGTGCAAGAATTGTAATAATGAGTTATATGTGATGAGAGCTTGGGACAAAACTCACAATTCTCAGTTCTGCCCACACACTACTTCTTAAGACTAGAACATAGTATTGAGAGATTTTTTTAGTTTAAAGGGCCAGAAAGGAAAAACAGGGCTGAGCAAGTATCTTTTAGGGTTTTTCTTCTGCTGTGCCTCTCAGCGTGCCTTAAATTCTTCTGTTTTCTTTTGTTTGTTTTTAAAAACTGGTGGCTGCTGTTCCTTCCATAACAAACCTAGAGCTGAGAACACAGGTTTTCACCTGCAGAAAGGTAGGGAAAACTCTACTTGTAGACATAAATTCTTCCCCTTCCACTCTCTGCAGTATGCTGTGTTCTTTAGAGAGCGAGGTTTCCCTTTCAGATCCACCCTGAAGGTCCTAACCTCTTGATCCAAAAGATAAATCTCAGTGCCCTCCCTCACTGGGTTGCTTTCTGGGTTGTGTGGTACAGTCCACACATGCTTGGTGGTGGGTGGGCTTTGTCTTTCTCTACTTCTAGAATCTTTTCCCAGATATTCAAGATATTTCCCTCTGTTTGAGTTACAAGGTAATGGTGATGATTTCAGCGCAGGGTTCTGCTGAATAACTTTGAGGTGCAGATGGATTGAAGTGGCGCTAGCCGAGGGCTTATTTCACTGTAGTAGCAAAGTGTCTGCAAAACTGCCTGCAAAGCTGCCTGCTTTCCAGCTTTGCAGAAAACTGGATTTTATGCTGAGGAAACAGTGCTGCTTTTAGGAGAGTGGTTATTCAACTGATGATTTTTGAGTTCGTACACCAAGTATCTTTGAGGAAAGTGCTGCTTGTTAAATGCCAAAGTGTGTGTGTGAGCATATAAGCAGAAATAAGGATTTTTTAATCTGTATTTTATAATGTATTATTTCACCTACTGTTTCTTCTCCAGAGGAATTTTCCTGCAATGATTTTTTTTTTTTCCCTTCTGAATAGCCTTCACTCCATTTTTGTTTTTTTGCCTTCTTTTCTGCAATGTTTCAGAATATTTTTTTCTAGAATTAAATAAAATCCCGGATGTTTGTTCTTATTTAGACCCTTCTGGAAATTCTGCTTTCTCTTCTTTTAGTATTTTTTCATGCATAAATTACCCCCCAAGTTTGGTACCTTGGACATTGTTTTGAATATTTTGGAGAAGATACTAAATGCCCTATGCACTCACTTTGGTGAGGTGAATGGTTAGTGTGTTGGCAAACTTTCTCTTAGGAATACGCAAAGGAGAAAAGACAAGCATGCAGGCCATGATTTATAAGCCTACTGCAGTAAACACCTTGATTTTCTTTGCAACCTTATGCTTCAATAGGTTACAACCCTGGTTATTTGCCACCAGGCAGAAAACACATTTAAAGAGGCACTATCTGGCAGGAGATAGAGCAGAAAATAACCCTAGAAGCTCAGGAATGAAGCATTTGTCGAAGTCTATAGTAGTACTGTGGTTTAAGCAAAGGAGCTTCCTTTACTAGGGCAACCACCAGTTAGCTGTACAGCTTTAGGTAATCTGAAAGTTTATTGTTTTTAAGAACAACTTTCCCCGAACACTGCTATTCTTTGGGTGGATGAAATGCCTCCAGCTGTAACTTTAGTACCTTGTTGCTGCTTTCACATAGAGCATTCACACCCATAAGGACCATCATGTTAAGTGACAGATCTGAGAAATCTGAAGTACAGGAAAGGGAGAACTAGATGCCAAGTCACAGAATCTGGAGGCTCATTGCTGTCCCTTTTCTCCTATTCATAAAACAGGTAAAGCCAGAAGCCTTTCAGCTGAATACTCCACTAAAAATGCCATAGTGAATAACCATGAAAAGTTCTTAACAGACATGTCCAATATTAACCTGGAGTGTCTCCAACTACATTAGTTCTGGTAGATCTGTTCCATTTACAGTGAAAACAACAGGAAGAGTTCATATATATTAATTTATTTCATGAGTTCAGTTTTAGTTCAATTGAACATCAGAGCAGACAACTTCTTGCTTTGTGAGAATAGGGTATTTTTAACAATATTTCCACCTTCTACAAAGTACAATTGAAAACAGTCATTATGGTCTGGTTTTGACCACAACTGCCTAACTTGTCAGTGAAAAGGCAGCAATTAGGAACTTGCAGCCCATTGTTGTGTTATATAGTTTGCAGGTATTTACGCTTACATATCAGATTAAAAAAATAAGAACTTCAAAGAAGATGACATGGCTTATAAAATCATGTTGTATCATCATGATGATGGCTAGCTAGAGACATTACTTAGTATAAAAGGTATTTCTCACTTTGAGTTTACATTAGATTTTAAACTAGGTGTATACCACCTACATCTCATCTCTAGTCAAAATGCTTTACCTGAAATTTGAAAGGGTATAATATATACATAGCTTCCAATATAAATGTTGGAGGAATTTCCATACAAAGTGCAACTGTGCTGTAGTGGATAGATTTTAAATGCATCCCTCTCTCAACTGGATGTTACTCAAGTCTTATTCTGTTTCCCTAGGAAATATTTTGTTGTCCATTACATCACAGTAGTTATTTTAAAAAGTCAATTGAGAACAACTGAACTACATTAGGATGTTAAGTTTTAGACATACTTCTTGATTTCATCATAAAGTACTAGTACAAAAGCTCCACCCATGCCTCTCAACACATTTGACCAGGCACCTTTGAAGAACGCTTTGGATCCTTCATCTTTTGCTATCTTCTTCCAGCAATCAATTGTGCCCTTGTACATAATATCAGCTGTGGAAACAAATGAAGGTCATAAGGTTGAGCTACACAGCAAGTCTGTTTCAATTTCATATTTAGAAAAACAGGCAGGGATAAACATAAGAATTTCAAATGAAATAATCAGTTCATAAAGTCATTTTAATTCACCATATGAAATCTAAAATAAACACTCAGTCTCATAGAGGACCACATTGAGATAACCAGAAATTACTGCAGAGTGTACTAAAACATAACCAGAAGTTTCCTGTAGGGTTGTGGAAAACCAACAGCCCTTTCATAGAAATCCCTCACAAAAGCTAAACACCACTACACCACTACCTTGCATCCTAATGAAATAATACTTTAATCCTTTAATGAAATAATACTGCCAGAACACCACAGGAACAAACTTATTCTTACCTCCCTTTCGTCCAGACTGCATCATCATCCTACGTCGCACAGTATCAAAAGGGTACGAAACCAACCCTGCTGCTGCAGTGACACTCTGGGCAATCATCCAGCTCACTATGATGTGCACGTTCTTTGGATCAGGCAACATACCTGCCACCGAGAACAAATTAAGAGTGAGTACAGAAGGAAAAGCATTATGAGAAAGATGGCTCTGGAAGGAGCAGTCACCCACCAAACCCAGAAGTCACTCAGTCTAGTCAACAGGAGCATGCCTGCAACTTCTCACTTTGTATTTGACAGTGAACAGCTGCTGAGTGAAAAAAGTTTATAGGATTATGGTATTTTGTGATCTATAGACTACTTGACATTCCCTGACCAGAAGCTCTCAGGCACAGCCCTCTGGGGGCTTCAAGGAGGGACAAGCTCCCATATAAACATTTAGGAAAAAAACCAACAAATAATTGCAACTGCAAACCCACAGCTTCTGCCTGGAGCAGCAAGTGGAGGAAGGCAGGAATGCATTTCAGAAACACATGCACATACTCCAGCACTAGTTCCCCCAAAGCAGTACTAAGCCCAGCCCTGCTCATCCTTGTAGGGCAGGGTGCCTTAGCAGGCCTTTTCTGGTTGGATCTTCCCTCGCAGCCACCACTCCATCCGCTTCTTACCCTTGGCTGTGTCATAAACCCCAAAATAGGCTGCTCTGTAGATGATGATGCCCTGGACAGACACATTGAATCCCTGGTACAGGCCCCTCAAGCCATCGGACTTGAAGATCTTGACAATGCAGTCGCCCAGCCCCGTGAACTCCCTCTCGGCTGCTCCTTTGCCCACATCAGCCGCCAGCCGGGTCCTGGCAAAATCCAGCGGGTAGACGAAGCAGAGCGAAGTGGCTCCAGCCGCGCCACCAGATGCCAGGTTGCCCGCGAAGTAGCGCCAGAACTGCTTGTGCCTGTCCACTCCCCCCAGGAAGATCTGCTTGTACTTGTCCTTGAAGGCGAAGTTGAGGGCCTGGGTGGGGAAGTAGCGGATGACGTTGGCTAGATTGCCCCTCCAGAAGGAGATGATGCCTTGCTCCTTGGGGATGCGGATGACGCAGTCGATGATGCCCTTGTACTGTTTCTCCGCTGTGATCTGTTTGCTGGCGTGCTGGACCTGGAAAAGCAATAGGAGGGTGGGAGGGCAGGGCAGGGAGAAGGACGCGGCAGGGTCACCCCGCACGCCGGCCGGCTAAGGGCAACGAACGCCCGCCCGCCCCCTGGCCCGGCTCCCGCTCCCCGAGGAGCCCGGGCAGCTCCCGCGAAACCGGAGCCGGCCGAGCGCCTTCCCATATTTAGGCACGCCGGGTCGCGCCCGATCCACCTGTGGCGCAGCTCCGTCGGGATCCGCCGCCCGCAGCCCCCCGCGCCCCCCGCCTCCTCACCTGCAGCAGCAACTTCACTCTCTCGATGGGGGCGACGGCCGTCTTGGAGATGGCGGCGGCGACTCCACCGGCCAAAAAGTCCTTGAGAAAGCTGAGCGCTTGGTCACCCATGCTGGTAACCGGTCCAACACCCCCTACCCGGAGAGAGCCAACGAGTCACGCACCTCCCCACCCAGCAGCCCCCCGCCGCGCCCCGCCGGCCAAATGGCCCAGAGCCCCGTGCCGCCCCGCTTATAACCCGCGGCCTCTCGCGATAGGAGGAGGCGGCCCCCGGGGCGCGCACATTGGCTGGGACCCCCCAGGGCCCGCCCCCGCTGGGGGGCGCGAGGCAGCGCCGCCATGTTCCTCTGGAGGCACGGCGAGGGCCGCCGGTCTCGGGACGTTTAAAGGGCAAATTAAAGTTATCTGGCGGCTGTGGGGAACGCGATGTCAGAGCATGTGCCTGCTGTATTAATAGCTCGCAGGAGGCACCCGAGGGGACCGAGAAAGCTTGCAGGAATACCTCGGGCGGCAGTAACCGTTTGTAGGGGCTGACGGCCGGCGCTGAGGGTGCTGCAGGCACAGTCTTTGTGTGCGTGGCCTCGAACCTCTGCGGTGCGTGCTGCGGGAGGGCGTCGGGCTGCCGAGCCCCCGGGGAAAGTGATCATAGAATCACAGAGTGGCCTGGGTCGAAAAGGACCGCGGTTATAATCTATTTTCAACCCCCTGCTATGTGCGGGGTCGCCAACCACCAAACCAGGCTGCCCAGAGCCACTTCCAGCCTGGCCTTGAATGCCTCCAGAGATGGGGCATCCACAGCCTCTTTGGGCAACCTGTTGCAGCAATGTGGCAGTGTGCACGTGTCTGTGAGCATTTGGGGGAACTAGAAACGGGTGCAGCCTCTGCAAGGCAAGGACATGGAATATCCTCGTGTCTGATGCAGTGTGAGCCTGCCAGCCTTGAGGTCTTCAACATCCCGGCATGTTCCAGAGGCTGCCTTCCCATAGAAGAGGCAACATGCCCTGGTTTCAATCTGGCAAGGTCAGACCCTCTGCAAGCACTGCAGTCAGTCACCCCTCCAGGAAGCACATGCTTGGAAATGCTCAGGTTGCTTGACTCGCACCCTGTGTGAGAGATCAGTGAGGACTGCAGCAAAACCTTACCTCTCTTCAATGCAGAGGGAAGCACTTCAGTCTCAAATGCAGGTTACGTGGCCTTCTTCACATGTTCCCTCTGCTGTACAAGCTTGTGATTCGCTGTTGCATGGAGTAGTTATGTGAAAGCCAGTGTAAAAAATTGTAAGTGTATACCAAGGAATTTGCCTTAAAACAGTCATCATATGTGGTTCTAGGATGATGCTGTACTGAGGAAAGCTAAGGTTAATGAGGTCAGCCTTAATTCAGTAATATAGTATCAATAATGGAAATAGAATTCATCTTAATGTAGGTGCTAAAAGATTGGCTGTTCCATGAAGAGACATTCCCTCCAGGACAGCAAATCTCACTGACGTCTGTGTTTAGCACAAGGCAATGAGACTGTAAATTTGATCCCCAGCCTCTCTTGCTCTCTGCTGCTCTCTGAGGTAGAGGTCTTTTCTCATGAACCTCAGCAACAGCAGCTTTAACGCTGCACACCTAAGCCACCATGAGCAAGATGGAGTCTTTCCCCAGTTCTAAGAAATGGAAAGAGAGGTTACCTGAAAAGGCCTTTTTCCCAAGCAAGAACTGAAAGCAGGTGCAAGCTGGAAGCACAGGGGCTCCCTAAAGTTAGACTGTGAGTTACAGGGTTCATTGTTTAACAGGTGTAGCTACTCTTGATCTTCGCTTTTTTTTCCTTGTGCTTAACTCACTAGGTGTGGTATCTTGTCTTTTCACAGGGAAGTAAATATCCTTTTGACATCTCAGGGCTTCTGCTGCTGGTTTCACACGAACCCACAGGATGGCAGTGTTTGCAGCGCTGCCTAGCTGGACGAGGTCTCCTCAGTGCATGCAGGCAGGTGTGTGCCAGTGCCCTGCTGACTGGAGTCAGTGAGTGGCAGCAGGGTGGTATTGGGAGGGAGGGGAGTAGGGCCTGGAGTGGGACTGTGGTGGGAAGGGTCTAGCCCAAAAGGGTCTTTCACCTGCTTCTTCCCCACCCTCTTCATTTTAGCTTGTTTACGCTGCTTTTCATTTTCTCTAAATGAACAATAAATTTTAGTAAAGCCTTTATCGTAAAAATTCCAGCTAGTTTTTTGAGGTTACTGTTACACATCATTATTCTGTTCCACATAAGTTCTTTGGTTTGATACGTATTTCTGTAGCAGTAATGCTATATATCCACATCTGCCAGTATTTAAATAAAGCAATGCACTAGAAGTGAGCAGTCACGTTTTATGCTTCTGATCTCCCTTGCCAGTACCCAGATGCCTAGTTTCAAGGGATATTCAACTTTCAGTGTTAACAGTGTTAAAATAATGGGCTAGACCAGGACATGTGCTTGCTGCTCTGGGTGGTGTTTTTTGATTTATTTTTGCTCCAAATGCCTATTTAGATCTTCCATGTATATGACAGTCCAGCCTTTTTATTCTACTTGTAGGAGATCAAATGCACTCTGTAAGGGACCTTTCACTAACTCTACCAGTACCACCAAACAAGGATAGGGATTTCCAGTAGCTAGAAATGTCATTAAAGAAAAAGTGAAAGCAGCTTGGCTTTTCATGGAATTCGTTGGTGCTTAGCGTACTGCATTTTCTTGAAACACTACATGAGATGAAAGTTTTACCAGCTGTTGTGTATTCTTGTTTCTCTGCATTGCTGAACCCTAGGAAACTAGTGCTGAGGTTGGGCCAGACACAAGAACGCTTTTTTTCAAAAGTCAGCAGTCTCCGTCCGACAGCAGACACAAGGGGGAGCACAAGCAGTCTGCAAGACAGTGCTGACCCCCCCCCCAGCACAGACAAGCTGTGGCACGACGCTAAGAAGAAACGTATTTTCTTCTGGTTTGTTTTCAGAAAAGATTAGTGGGGTTGCAGTACATTCTCCATGTAAAAGGTTGGTTTGTGTTTGTAGTGAGTTCCTCGTACATAAGTGTAGAAGCCTGGGAGGAGGCACAAAATGTCAGTCTGAAAATGTAACCAATACAAACTGAAGACTAATCTCACAGCCTGATCAGTCTGGCTGGAAACAGGAGCCAGCATTTTCACAATGGGCTGTGCTCGGCTGTAAGAATACAAAGAGTAACTCCCATCATGTGTTGGAGAACTGTGAGCTACTGGAAGGATGCAAAGACAGGGATAATACAGGAAAGATGGTGGGTTATGTTTATGCAGTACGTTCTAGATGTATAGTAGGATTTTAAGACTGCATTTCTGAGACCAGACAGAGAAATGTTGAAACTAACCCTAACCCTGATGAGACCTTGAATCAGTGCGCTGTCTGTGTGGATGCATGGGGAAAAACACATGTCAGCCTTAGTATGTAGGAATGGAACACCAAGATTTGCAGCTGATACGTGCAACTCTAGGAACAAGATGAAAGGCAGAGATGAACACTCAATGAGTGAGTGTCATCCAGCTTAGAGAGTGATTCACAGTGATGAATAATGAAGGCATCAGGAAGAATGGAGGATCTGAAAAGATTAAAATCTCTTGGTTTTATTCACTTTTATTTGCTTTCTCTCTCTCTTTTTCTTTTTTTCAGCTGAAATCCTTGAGTATGGGTATGAGAGGGGAAAAAAATGATGGGGAAGAAGAAGTTGGGAAATAGATGATGAGGCATTCTGCCTCAGCGTGATAAAAACATAATCTGTGTTTCAGTCATTGCTTGGGTAGTGCTTTTTGGGAATACGTCTAGTGCAGGAGCACAAGGAAAGCTATCAACCTCTGATTCAAAGGGAAAAAAAAAAAAAAGACTTTTTAGTATTTGCCCATAAGTCATGAGAAATAAATACTGATTACACTAACATTTATTATAGACTCTTAAATGTTGCTACACTGTTTGGAATTCATATGTCTAGCATGTACAGTTGTATTATATGTAGGTATGAATGAGTATATGCTATAAAAGTGTCCTAAGCAGATCTGTCGTTACATCCTCCCCTTTCTCCTCCACTTATACAGCACCCTCATTTCCAGTGAGCAGAAGAGATCTTGGCACAGCTTAGGGGAAAACTAACCTAAAGCTGTGCACTTTCTCCTACTGGGCATTGCTCAGCAGGGGAGGCTGTTCTCAGCTTCAGCCAGTAGAAGCGGGGGTGGCAGGCGGTCTCTTACAGCAGAGGATGTGAAGCATGCATTTGCATAGGCTGCTTTTCCTTGCCTCCCCTCTGCTCTCCAGCAAGCATGGGTTTATTTTAGCTTTGGCCTTCTGAAGCAGGATTGTTTTTCCCCTGAATAGGTCAGGCTGGGATAGTGCCAGGATACATGGCCTTCCATAGCTGGGGTGACTCGGGAAGCTGGAGATATCTACTAAGTAGACAGTGCTTCTAACTGCTGGGCCTGTGCCCAGTGTCAGAGGAGTATCCTAAGTTAACCTTTGTGATAAACAGCAAAGACAGCCCTCGGCAAAAGGACTTTTTCTGAGTCTGGTGTCAGGCTGAAACAGGTTACAGTGCTGCCCTCTGTTGTTGGAATTCAAAAAAACTCATACAAGGCAATGATGAAATTCAGCCGAACGTTAGTAAAATGTGAGTAGAAAAGCCACATGTGAATAAGTGAACAGTTTCATCCACTTGTTTCATATGGTGGTTCAGCCCATTGGTATGTGCCTGCATCTCTTCACTAGCAGTTCAGTTTGTAGGAACAGAACACAGCTAATAATATTATTCCTTTTTTAGCAGATAGTCCTCATGTCTGATCTTGTGTCCCAGAAGTCATACATTGTAGGATGCTTGTTTGTATTTTATGCACAGGGGAAATACAGAGGAAGAATTTTCTATTTTCTGTAGCTTCTTGTATCTGCTATTTTTTCTTATTTTTATATGGAATTACTGAATTTCTCACTTACAAGCACTTGAGATGAAGTTGTATAGAAAGCTAGAATTCAAGGTCACTCTTCTTTGAATAAAAGCTGTAGAGAATTGTCTAGAACTTTTTCCCCATAGCTAATCTGTGAACCAGTGTGGAAGCAAAATGAAAGTAGTCTGATATTTCCATCTGATCTGGAGGGAAATCCCATCAAGGAGCATTTCCTAGTCCTAGTGTAGTGCAGCCTTGCCAAACCTGACACATAGGTGACTCCAAACCCTTGCACAAATGCAGATATGCCTGGCAGCTATTGAAAGCAGACATACTGTCCAGACTGTTGGTGGCAGTGGGTTTTTTTTTTTAGCTAAAGAAGCTCAGTTCTCAGCATTGCTTAGTGAACATAAGTGACGGCCCTCTTTCAAAGTGGGATAAACTTCTCACTTTCTGACTGGTACTGAAAAACAGAAAATTGTAGTTCTATTCTGCATTCTGTCCCTGATGGTAAAGGCACTAAATAAAAGCAGAATTGATCCATAACTGTGACACAGCTGGTGTTGTACAGTGAGAAGTAAAAGTAACATCGATCCTATCAGCAACTGGACAGATTGTTTCACAGTGTGCAGAGGTTGCTGGTTACCTGTTTATGCAGCAATATTCAATATGGATATTTGTATGGGAACTGCTGAGTCACAGCCTGAACCTCTGATGGATCACCTGAGGCGAGCCATGAGTCAGCCAGAGGAGCACAGCTGAAGGCAATTCACCTGTGCTGCAGGAAGGGGTGGAGCCTGGCTGCACCCCTCCTAGACCCATTTAAGAACTGGCTGCCAGTGGGGAAGGATCTCTCCTGGAGATCTGCTCTGCTGGTGTTTTGTGAGTGAGCCCAGGTTAGGGGTAAGCCTTCTGTTTATTCTTTTTTGTTTTCATAGTCTGCCTTGACTAGCTCTCTTGTTTATTTTGTGATTGTAACATCCTAAGATTCTTTGATTATACAGTATTAAAATGAATCAAACCTTCTGTCAAAATATGTGAGAGTTAATTAATGACTTGTGGAAGTGGTTGTAACAATGGAGGTTCAAGGTTCATCATTGGTTGCCCCTGCCTTCAGGAACTTGTATTTTAATTTCTGGTGAAGAATACTTTTTCTAACATGTAGGCTTGCAACTTCAAATGGCCTGTAAAGGTGAGGCCTTCTGTCTTTGTATTGTAAACAATAATCAGTTCCTAACTCTTGGCCCATCTGATTGAAGATACTGAACCAGTAAAAAGTTCCTGTTTAACTTTTCTTTCTGCTTGGTTTGCTCTTCAGTTTTGGGAGTATTTACCCTCATTTGCCAGATTCCAAAAGCAGATGAGGGAGGAGAGACCCAACACCGTTGGTTGGCTGAGATGCTGATTTGTGCAGGCAATATCTGTTCCTCAGCCACGATGGCAGGGGGATCTGGTTGACTAGAGCAGTGGTCATAATCTTCCCATATGCCAGGTTTTTTGTTTGATGTGTATTTGCCTCCATCATATCTACATTAGCAACAGAAGAAAACAGGAAGATGAAAAAAGAAAAATCTGTTTTATATGTAGTCTCAGTAATTGAGAGTGTTGGTTGAAAAAAATTGGGTACAATCTGATTGTGCTTTGTTTTTTCCTTCTTAGATTTCACAGGGATGGGAAAATCAGTGCATCATCTGCTGTGACTGCAATTGAAGCCAACTTGGTGAAGTTGTTTCACTCTGATTTCATTCTACTTGGCCACGCTCTGGTAAGTGTCTGTCTAATCACATTTATTGTGTTTAATTTGTGAACCATTTATGAATGCAAACAGTTGATGAAGCTCAAAACAAAGGAAATTCACCTGTCATAGAAGAGATCCTTTTCCAAAGATACTCCAATACTCTTTCCCTTTCTTTTTTGTTTGTTTTTGTTTTGTTACTGTGAGTTGCTCTGCAGATCATTGTCAATTAGTGTGCATTAAGAGCACATGGGGACAGACAAACTTTACAGGAACAGACAAATAACAAGTATAGTGGTCAGTGGAGAAATCCTCAGTCCCTGTCTATCACCAGTGCGCATGAAGCTGGTGGGTCACTGACTTGAAGAGCCAGGTGGTAATATCCCTTGAGGAAGATGGCAACTTGGAAACCTTGACATCTGGCTAGCCTTCAGCTGCTGGGTGTCTGGCATTCCCCACACACTGCCTAATTCTGCCCCTGAGACCAGGAAATGCTGGGCACCAGGGGTCACAGAGCCACTGGACCCCAGGATGGTGCCTGTTCTCTTTGCAAAATTCTGTGACTGCCTTGCAGTTGTGATTTGGCACCACAAGCAAAAAAAAAAAAAAAAAAAAGTGTGGCTATGATGCTACATGCTTATCAATGATAACAGTGATCTGGAGACTGAGTGCTTTCACAATGCAATAGTCTTCATTCTGGAGGAGTTCAAGTCACAGAGAACTGGTTCATAAGCAAATTTAGATTGAAATATGTCAGTGAAGCATCCTAAGTGATTTCTTGCTGTGCTGGGTTATATGAGAGATCTCCAATGTCTTGTTTAAAAAAATATCATTTTATATAAACTCCATTAAGTATTAGGCTGTTTTTGTGCAATGCAATTGGAGTATGCTATGGGCTGGAACTGTGTACTGGGAAGGGAAACAATTTTCCCTTTACCATGTAGGGTAGGCAGGATATTTAAAATAAAGCTGGGCCTTTTTGCCAAGTGATGTATTCTAGTGTAATGTAGGTCAATCCTTCTACTAACTTAGGGCTCATTTACTTTCAATGAGTATGAAATTGTACTTTCTTAGTATTGTTTTGTCTTTTTGTCTCAGAAGAATCTCTCCTTTGTTGAAGAGAAGGTGTTTAGTAGGGAATCGGGAATTTCAGATAGCAAACAAATGCAGGCAGGGATGATTTTCTTTATTTAGAACCATCTGTCAGTGGGAAAGGAGAACTTCTATCTTCAAAAGCAAAACACACAGTCACTCACCTCTCACATGTTGGACAGGGTAGAGAGTAGAAAGAACAAAAGAAAAACCATGAGTCAAGATAAAGAGTTTAATAAGGGAAGGAAAGAGAAAATATTGCAAAGTAACAGAAAGCAATCATTCAGCACCTCCTACTGATGACTAACCAGTCCCTTGAGCAACTGCTATAGTGGCTACCTGGAAAGATGCTGCACCCCACCTGTTAGCGCTGAGAATGACATTACATGGTATGGGAAATCTCTCTTCTGCCAGTTAGTCAGCTGTCCTGTGTCCTTCCCCAGCTTTTTGTTCCTTCAAGCTTACTTGCTAGTGTGAGGCAGGGTGAGAAAAAAATCTTGAAGTATGAGTACTATTCAGCCAGATCCAGTACAACAGAGCTGCTTGACATTAATGCATAGTAGATCAGAAATTGAGGATACAGTTTCATAGTTAGCATAAAGATACTGGTGACTCAGTTGCAGCTCTTAGTTCCCTCTCCTTTCCAGTCGTGTGTTTCCCATCTCCCCTCAAGTCAGCACTAGCGATCATGCAGCCCTGCAAAAAGCAAATTTCCTGCATGTCCCCTACAGTGAGTTGAAGCTGCTCTGCAGGCATGAGCGTGAGAATGGCTGGCTGGGGTGCGGGAAAGTGACAGAAGTGACACTGCTGGAATAGACATGTCAATTTGTGGCACAGTGGGTAGTTCTTATGCTGTGGCTATATTTCATGCTTATGTACCCTTCATCAATCTCTCCTACCTCATATTTCTTTCTGAATAACCACTATCACCGTGTGGGCTGACACTCTTTAGCTTTAGAGCAACTAGGTAGGGGAAACTGTATATGGAAAAAGAATTCAATGGTTTGGTTCTCTGGAGCTACGATGTAAATTTCTCTTTGACAGTTAACAAGAAAAAGGCACTTAACATTTTGCAAAACTACATGTAAAAGTTGTTCATGGACCGAGCATTTCAACACGATATGGATTAGGCAGGTTCAGTTTTTACTTTGTGGTATTTTTCAACTGATTGTAGTTAAATCTAAAGCATGTACTTTAGGAAGTGAAGAGCTTTCCATACAAGGTCTGCCTTGTGAGGAAAAACAAGATGGTATTTTTGGAATGTCCGTGCCACTAGATGGCAGGGCACACTTTGAATAAAGGAAGTAGCGAACAGGCTGTATTCCACACTGATTTGTTCTTAGTCTAGAAAATCCCTCATTGAGCTTGTCAAAAGCTTGGTTGGAGTGAGGAGTGGCTGGAGTGTTGGATAGAACTGTAATTGTGTCATGACGCTTTGGCAGCACTGGCATGCAGTTTTATCTTTTTCTGCAGTACAATAGATATCTTAGTTGAATTCCTCAAAGCTCAGCTTAATAAGATAATAAGAAAAAGCTGTGCATTAACTGCAATTAAATTATGAGCCAATGTTGGTGATTTTGTTTAAAAAAAAAAAAAAAACTCTCCCCCTCATACACGTGCCACGCTTGCTGTGCCAAATTCTCAGCTACTCAGTCACTCCTTGAAGTAAATTGCAAAGAGCAGATTAGCTCAAGTGCTGACCTTGGAATCTGGCTTAAAATAGTTTGGATGGGCAGCTTGCTGCAGGTATCAGATTCAGATAGCATTTATAAGAGTTAAGGTGTCTGATTTTCACTCTTCCACATCAGTTTCATTTTACAGTAACTGTAATAAGTTCAATTGAATGAAACTTGCATAGTGGTGCTGAGAAGCAGGGTGTTTATGTTGTTCAGCTGCAGTTAAAGTCTTCAGAATACGAAGGTGAAAAAGTTGTGTGTTTACTGGTGCAAAATATATAGGTATGTCTGGACAAATTAGATGTAAAACTCTTCTATTTTCATGTGGAACATTACACGTTGGCAAATGGAAATGAGCATGCTGAGATCAGGTCTATATCTTTTAAAGATCATAGAATCAAAGAGCAAGTCTAGCTCCCTCAGCGTGTAGCGTCTTTGTAGGAGAGCTGCCTATTGGCAGCTTTGTAGGAGAGCTGCACTCTCTTATTTCAAATGTCCAGCACAGTTTTAGGCTTGCCTATCCCTCTGACCTGTTCTGCTATCTTATTGCTATCTCTGCTGCAGTGTGCTAGTCTTGACACTAAGCAAGTTGTTCTCTGCTTTCTATGCTTCTTACCAATTTCCTGCTCACTGAGGTTGTTCTGTGTGTGTGTGTCTTCTATCTTCCCCTAATATCCTCTCAAAAACTCGCTGTTTGGTACCCAGGAAGTGGTGTTTTTATAGGATGATTAAAAGATATTTTGACAACTCGCTGAAACACTGATTGAATTTCCCAGTGTGCCTTATCTACCTCTGTGTTCCTTTGATTTGAGGTGTGAGATGCCTTTATTTGAGGATACTGCAGATGTTAAACATATGATAAAATGGAAATAAGAGTTTCCCAGTCTGTATGCGCAAATGTAGGTATTGGTGCAACAAACCACATGTGGCTTTTTTGCAGGTGCTCCCTTCTCCAGGATTCTGGGCTTCCTGCCAAAGCATTTTCTCTCAACCTCACTGTTAACCAGTCCCTTGCATTTTGCATCAGCTTCTGTCTAAATAGGCTTAGCCCTCCAGTTAATAGATATCTTTTTCTCAAGTGCTGCCCATTGCACCTGCCTTTGAAATGTGCTCTGGAGAACTCAGTGATTGGTCTGTTGTGTGCTGTTGCTGTTTGGTTAAATCATTGCTTAGTTTCAGGTGGCTGCATTTGCATGCTGGAGCACTGGATCCTCCTGTTTACTGCTTTTGTATATCTTGGATGTGTTTGTAAAGCTTGAGGGGAAGTTCAGAATGAAAAGTATAATATCAGTGTTTGGGATAACAAATGGTACAGGCCATACGCTCTCTTCATTCAATGCTTTTTCTGTTTCCACATCAGTGAGCACGTTGGATGTAATGTTGTCACAGCATGCTACCAGAAATCCTGAGATCAGTAATGTAAAATAGGTCTTTGGAATTTTAATAATGGAGAAAATGTCAGTATGCAAAGTTGGTGCAGGGTTGTTCCTCCCTTCCCCCAGTTCTACTCCTTTAGATCAGTCAGTGTATTTTCTGACTTTGTGGATACAAAAAGTGGGAATGAGGCATTCTCTGGAACCATATATTGATTCCCACTCCGTTCCAGTAGGATTCACCACCCCAAAAATCAGTTGTACACAGGCATACTTGTAGACCAGAGTTTCAGGATCAGCTCCCATCTTCCCCAGGTGTGTCTGAAGAACTTGGAGTCCTTCAATGTTGACATGGCTTTGACATCTCCTAAGAGAGCCTGTGGCATCCAGAGATCATTGAGTTCTATCCAGACAGCTGTTTTTCCCCAGCTAGGTTCAAGGAGTTGTGTGTGACCAGCAGTGCTGCAATCAAACCAGCTTGAAGGTTGTTAAGTAATACCAAAGATAAGCAGCAAAGCGTTCAAGAGAGTGTGATTCGGACCCATCCTTTTGGTAGGAATGACATTATTATTGAGTTCATTGAATTAGGTTGGTATTTTTCTCATAAAATATACTTGTACACTGTCAGTAGTATACCTGGTGTTTATGCACTGGCTCCATGTGTGTAAAACAGTCCATCTTGGCAGTAGCTTTCTTGAGCATTAAGCTTAGCCAAGCCTTTTTTCCAGTAGTCTCTATGTATATCTTGATATGGAGAACATGTTGAGACATTCTTACGCAAGAAATGATTAGAAGCTCTCACTGCAATAGGCACAGTGGTGTGGTTCATTCCACATTACTGAAACACCTCTCTAGCTCAGGCTATCAGCCTCTCTAAGTGAAATTAAGTGAACAGTTATCCAGGGTTCCACTGAACCCATAGAACTGAGGAATATTCTCAGTAACAAGTCATGACAAAATTGAGTTCAGTACCAAGAAAATTGCTACTCATTTTCCTACCGAATTGTTTGTTTTCATTTGGTTACCAGAAGAAATGACCAAAAAAAAAAAAAACCAAAAACATTATAAGCCAGAATCCAGAAAGAGATTGTGCTAACTAGTTGTTGAGAGGTTATTTATTTGCAGCTAAAGGTACTGGAGTGATCTGTGTGTGAATTTCTGTCTCTGGGATTTACAGAAGCTCCTGTACAAGGCAGATGAAATTGCCAGAAGTGGGGCCTTTCTTTGATAGTTCTACTCTAAACGAGGACAAAGTGGATAAGACCCATTTCTCAGATCTTTTTAATTGCTTTTTAGATCCCAGCAATTCTTGTTTTTAATTCCAGAACATTACAATGCTCAAAAAGCTTAGTTTTGCTTTTTGAACAGGCAGTGAATTTGCTGCTATCTTGCCTATTTAAAGATGCTCATGTGCAATATAAAAAATCCACTTCCCCCAGACACGTTCTTGCACAGTACAAAACCACAAATGTTGTATTAAGTGCTATTCTTTTTCTTCCTTGGATCTTGTGTTACTTTATGTGCAACCTGGCTACATTTCTTTGTGAATGTGACTATACACCGAGAAGTGATAAAGTAGTGGACAGTGGTCAATCTATTTTAGTAGCAGACCTGCAAGGTGGCCAGTTTACATACTGGTTCTCAGCATAGCTTCTCAGCTGCTTATGCCTAATATACAGCTCTTAATCCTTTCTGCATGTCGTCCCTTGAAGCAAATGATAGAGGCACAGATTAGGAGATAGCAACAAACAGGAGATTTTGTCTGTTGATTGCATGTGCAAATAGCTAATCTTCAGTGCAATGTTCTTTAACCCCAGAACAGTTATGGACTCCTGAGAATCCATTCTTACTGAAACTCCCCAGCAAAATCAGATTTTCTATTCTTCATAGGGAAAAAAGTGCTGCAGGTTTACTTTGGTCATGTGTGTTTGTATTGGCAGAACACAAGCTTCCGTAAACGCACGTGTGTAAATGAAAAGTGAATGTAGATAAGCAAAGTTGAAAGGCAGTAAAATGAGCACTGTCAGCTGAGGGCAGCCGCAAAAGCAGCTCCCAGTCTGCCCTCCTCAGCAGACTTTCTACAGCCTAAAGCAGGATAAACGGGCCATTTGCTGTGCTCCTAACCTGGGAGTCAGAAGTCCCCGTAAGAAGCTGCTGTGGCACGCTAACGAAAGGGTTTCTTGAGTTATGTAAAGTGGGAAAGCAAGGTGATGAAACCGAAACAACAAATAAATACTATGTTTCGTGCACCTTTTCAGTGCCTTGCCAAAACCAAAATGTATCTCCCCAGAAGTCAGCTGACTTTTATCGGCTTTGCAAAATGATGAATGAATGCCTTGGCTCTTTATTATTGCTTAAGTCATTCCTGTTTATGCCAGTATTTCAAGGATTATGTTTTGATTGTTCTGGAGAAGTGAAAACACTTTCTTGCTGATGAATAAACACTGACACTTTTAAATATTTGTATGCAAAATGTCTTTAAAGCCATTATGAAATGCTTACCAAAAGCACTAAGAAGCTGTTTCCCGAAAAGACAGTTTTTTCTCTCCATTTTCTTTCATGCTAAACAGTCCAAATGAAAAGCCTTTCAGAGTTAACTAGTTTAAGCAATACCAGTGTTTTAGTGTAATGAATAACTTTTTTATAGAGGACAATTGCACACAGTTCAATATGCTAGTATTTCTATTTCTGTGCCTCACCAATGCCAGGACTCTCGGGTAGAATTTCTTTCTTTGAGAAAGCTGAGGCGATCAAAACCCTGATTAACCTCTGATATTCACGTGGTGCTCTTGATCTTGAGGACCGAAGCAGTAACAAAGAGTTAATGGCAGCCATATGCTCACGGTATTGTGGGTACTGTTGACCCAAATGTGAACTCAGCCAGCTAGTGCTGCTAACTGCTGTTTGTTTCAGGTTTGGCGTGGAGATTACTGATGAAGAGTTTGAGCTGCTACTTGACAGAATCCCCCTTGATGAAGATGGAAGTGTCAGATACCCCCAGTTCATGGCCAGGTTTGATTCCTGGTATGCAGCATATGCATTTTATTTCTCATTTGTGTGTAGAATTATTTTTATTCTAAGAGGCTCCCCTAACATTTGCAGACTGATCCTCATTTCTTAAGTATGCTTCTTTATGACATTTCTTGCATGGGGAATGCTGATTGCATTTAAAATTAGCTGATGTTATGGGAATGTATTGTTTATAATCTAGTTTGTCTTTAAACGCTAGTTATGTGTTTTGGAGGACTTCAGAGTCGTGTAATGTATCCTCATGCTTTCTGTAGGCTGGGAAATATGACAGACTTCTAAGTAAAAGCTAATTGCTTCCCAAAAAAATCAATACATGTACTTGATGCAGTTCTAAGAACTTGAAGCATTTATAGACCCTATATATAATCTGAAGTTGTTTTGAAATGGTGATATTGCTTAACAGAAGCTCTACTCAGACTCTAAGGCCTAGTTACACACATGAGAGTTTAATTAAAATGAAGAAACAATGGGCTAAATACAGATACTTTATCAATTTCCAAAAATGAAGACTCTGTTCCCCAAACAGCTGTGCTAATAGCAGAGTAGATGCCAGTGACATTGCTGAGGTGAATGCAAGTCTCTTGTAGAATCTGGGACTGGAGAAGTACATCCCACCCACTTACATGCATACATAGATTTTTAGACTGCTTAAAGGCAATGCAAATGTTTCTGAGTTATGTAGCAGGCAAGAGCATATCTTCTGTATAGTCTGCATACATGCATGAAGGATAGGTAGAAGTCTGAGTACTGAAATAACATTAGGTAGTTCCTACACTTCAGGTAAAACTGCACATTGCAAAGCTGATAAAAGTGCTTCTATCTTCCAGTTCCACTAACTGCTTTTCTGCTCTTTCTCTCTCATTGTCCTCATCATCCTGCTTCAGGAAGTATTGAGGTTAAATTCGCTTGTCCACATGTTTTAACACAGAGCTGTCAAATAGGATACAGGATTCATGAGATGCATATGTCCTTCTGGAATGATATCCTTGAAGTAACCTCTGAGAGTCTCTCAAATTACACTTGAATGTCCTTGGGTGGCCTCCTGTTTTTCTCATACTTTTACTGCCAAGGCCTCCTCTCCAGTTCTTTCTTTTATAGTCTTCTGAATGGGTTGCAGCTACCCTGGATTTGGTTGTGCTTGAATTTCTGTGAAGTGTTTCAGCTCCAGGAATATAGCCTGTTGTGTCCTCTAGTGTTGAGGATGTAAATAGATGGCAGAGGATAAACATCCTCTGGCAAAACTACGAAATTTTGAGTAATCAAAAGCTTCAGAAATAAGATACAGAGAGGCACAACACTGGACCTTCTTCCTCTCACTGTGCACTCTGCTGTTGCAACTCTTTTTCTGAGCTTCGTGCTTTTTTTCTCACGCACAGATTGCTTCAGCTGTCATGTCCAAGTAAATTCTGAAGTCAAGAGAAGCCAACGTCCCTAAAAGAAGCAACATTCATCTTAGTAAGTGTATTCACTTCATGCATCAGATTGGAGACCACATTTATTTCAGCTTTTAGTAACTATTTTCTTGTATTTACTTAAAGTAACACATTTTCACCACAAAGGAGCTGCATTAGCACAAAGTGTTCTGCTGGCTGTCACTTGCCTTGGAGTGCATCTGCAAGGACACACACAGCTATTTGTAGCCCTTTAAGAGGCCTATGACTGAACCCACGTTTCAATAGTAAGAAGCTGTACTATGTAGTACTGACCAGTAGTTAACATGCACGGTTGTATCTAGTATGCTTTTCAACCAGGGGCAAATGACGTTGTGACCATTAGAGATGTGAGAATCCTAATTTAACTAACCTAACTCTGCCAGCTTCAAGCCCTTTGCGGTGCTGGCTGAGTTGGGAACACGCTGTATAACATCTACCAGAGAACTGTAGACAATATCCAGAACTTTGCTGCTGAATTAATTAAAGCACTTCTACATTAAACAGTGAAGGAAGGAATGTGCAGTAACTGGAAGTTCAAAGCTGCCTGTTATAAATGGGAGCGTGCTAGGCAGAGACCTTGGATGCATAGCTTACATTTGCAATGGAAAGTGCAGAAAAAGCTCATAGGGTTATGAAAGCTTTTTCCCCTGGATGTGCCCAGCCTGATATCTTCCAGGGAAAATGATGGGACCTGAGAAGCTGAGCTACCACCTGTTCCCATCTCTTGCCATATCTCATACAAAGATCTCTGCTTTTCAGAATCTCTGTAAATCTGAATGATTGACTACAGATTTTGTTTTGTACTGGTCAAGTCTCATATGACTCCCATGCTATCAGATGCCACCAAAAATAGCATTTGGTTAAATATAACCAGAAACTGCTAGCCTCTATACCAGAAGACTCTCAGGCATAGAAACACTGTCAGGCCCAAAGGTGGGTTGTATAGAAGAAAAAGAGAATGAGTATTGTAAGAAGTGGTCTGTCTTGGTTGCAGCTAGAAGAACAGTTAGGTTAGAAACCCAGAATAAGATGGGACAGAGGGGGTCTAGAAGTACTGTGGCTTTTGTTACGGTAGAGGGAAGAGCACCTGATCATGCAGCAATTAAGTGCTTTCTCTGCAGTCAATTTTTGAACTTATCAGTCCCATTTCCAAGTCACCTTTCAGAATGCACTCAATCTAGCAATTTCAAAGATTATTAGCATGCCTGCACTTGTTGCTTAGAAATAATTACTGTTTATACAGAAATCATTGTACTTTCCATGGCACAATTCTGTATTTGAACATGATCCAAACAAATAATTATATATGTTCATTGGGAATATTGTTGCTCAAGTCGAGTGGGAGAGAGTACATAAGCCCCACAGCATAGCTTAGGTAACAGGTCTTTATTTGTTTCACATCGAGAACTGGGGACCAGATCATTTTCTCAGATTGCTTTGATGTTAGTATGGGGTAACTTCATTTACTCCAGTGCAAAACTAAAGTGTGACTGGGATCAGAATGTAAGACTGAGGCATGGTAACTTTCACTTTCATCACCTACCCCCAGTGTCTTTCTTATTAAAACAAATGTTTCTTGCAGCTTTAGTCTCAGTTTCTGTACTGTATGTAGTGGGCTGGCCTCAGCCAGCAGCCAGACTACTGGCCAGCTGCTCATTAAATGACAGTGAAGATGTTTTATTTACTAAAATAACATCTTAATTGGAAATTTGATTTTCTATAACTTATATGTATTATTTATCTTCAAATAAAGTGTCATTTTGGTTGGAAAGTAACACTGTTAAAGAACTAAATTTGGTTATAAAAATGGCTGTGTATTGACTTCCCCTTTCACACAGTCAACTATTTCTTCCATCCCTCCCTTGTTATCCACTCAGGTAGGCCTACTACAAACCATAAAGATAGAGAGTGAGCTGTAGGAGACTCAGCATGTTCCCAATACCATAGATATTAACAGAAGAGCTTAAAGATTTGCCCTGAGCGAAAGAAAAAGTTTCTGAGTCTAAAGGAATATAACCAGTGAGGATAATGTGGAAACCTTTGCCCACAGTCATAGATGGGAAATACAGAATTTAGTGTAAGAATAGAAAAATGTATCTTCTTTCTCTATAATTACATTTTATGCTAGTGGTGATGATAAGTGGATTAATAAAAACAGGAGTTATTCAGAATCTGCTATGGGTGCATTAGACTTGAGACAAATTTTAAAAGAAGAAGTAATATTGTATATATTACCTTTGAAAGATTAGAAAAGGATTATGCAGTCAAAGTTGGTTTGTTTCCTCCTACTGTTTAGTTGACCTAATCCAAGATATCTGTAGACCATATCACTGTTACCCAGATGCTGTAATATGTGCACATTTGATGCTCATGCTGCACACTGCAGACTTAATTAGCCACATGCATTGGTGTGTACTGCTCATACACCCCAAGAGAAGGATCTGCCCTGGAAATCAAGTACATCAGTAGCTTGGCTCTTGCTGCCCGTTATCTGGGTATTTACTGTAGTGGCATGCACAAGATAGAAGGGAGATGTAACAGCAGAATCAAGGCATCATTCTTTTCTCTCATAGTGTGTTCACAGAAATAGGATAAGGTTTGAGAAGTGTTCAGCGTTAACTCTAATAACAGTGAAAACAGTGGTTAAACCCCCTCCCAAATGTTATCTTTTCAAACTGAGCGGCTAAATAAGAAATTATTTTGAAAGTCCTAAGTCATTTGCTCTGGCAGTTTTTTTGGTGGTATTTGGGTTTTTTTTTTTTTGTTTGATTTTGTTTTTAATTCACATACTGTATTAGAGTGCTAAAATATTGTGTGAGCTATTCCTGGATGATCGCTTCATTAGTCACTCTGACATAAGTCACACTGGTGAAAAGCACGAGTCAGATAACTGTAGAGTGGTTATTTTGCCTTGCAGATGAGTTTTTTAAAGGCTGCCTGTTTTTTGATGTTCCATTGGTAGCTACAGCCTATGCCAGATTTCAGAGACTGTGACCAAAGGCAGAGTGACAAAGATGCAGGATGAATGTCAACCTTAAGTGTTGTATTTGAGGAGCTAAGGTGAGAGGTCAGCTACAAGGTAAGACTTAGTCATGTCCTTCCAAAACCTCACATGCCCTTGAACTTCCCACCCTCTAAAAATAACCCTCTTTCCCCCACGGTCATCCTAAATTCTAAGCAAATGTAGGAGGTGAGTGTTCTGATTGCCCGACATCCTCTCATACACAGGCTTCTCTTCCCTGCCTGGCAGTCAGGCACAGCCCCCTGCTGCAATGCCCTTTGGGTTGTTTTTGATTCTGCACTCTCAGCCAAGCCCATGGGTCAGCCAACATTAGTACA